TAAATGTGTGTGTGTGTGTTTATTATTGACCTGCTATCGAGGTGTATTCTGACGATCCGCCTGGCACCTGCGTCCACAGACGTACAGAGAAGACAACGGCACACCACCGGGCGAGTGGACGTTCTACATGAAGACATGGGTAGTGGTCAGTATTGTGCAGACGATATACGCCCTCACATACGACTTCAAGATGGACTGGGGCTTGTTCAAGTAAGCAAGAGCGTGTCTGCTGTGTCTTGCGCATGTGATGTGGTACGCGTTATATGCATTAGCAGAGGGATGCACATGCACGCGTCATTGCATGTGAAGTATTTGTTTGGGTGTGTGACTGTGTATGTGAGCATAGGGGTGTTGTATGTTGTAATGTGTGTTGTGGTGTGTGTTGAGTGTTGTGTGTTGAGGTGAGGTGAGTTGAGTGTTGTATTGTGTTGTTTGTTGTGTTGTGTATTGAGTGTAGTGTGTTGAGTTGAGTGCTGTGTTGTGTTGTATTGTGTGTTGTGTTGTGTGTTGTGTTGTATTGCGTGTTGTGTTGTGTGTTGTGTTGTGTTGTGGGTCTTGTGGCAGTTGAAGTATGCCATGGCTGTTGTATTGGTGGTGATCGATTTATTACATCCTGATCCTACACATATCTCGTTATATACATTAGCGGTGGGATGCGCATGCAGGTGTCACTGTATATAAAGTACCTAGCCTCTATACCGATCGTAAGAACACATAAACACACACAAAGGCCATCAGCAGCTATAACCCCTGTCAGATGAGCAGAGCTGTAGGTGTCATCACACACCACATAGCCTGAGGTTGATCCTTCTTGCACAAGTAATGGTGTATTTGTATTGCACAAGTAATGGTGTATTTGTATTGCACAAGTAATGGTGTATTTGTATTACACAAGTAATGGTGTATTTGTATCTGCATCTGTTCCCAATGCGTTGAGTAGTAGCTATCTACTGCGCTGCGTCTGTTTAAATACTTGGAACGTTTGATTTGAATACGTGAACGTTTCTGTTCTATTGCTCGCCAGTACATGCACGCCCTACTACCCCCCCACCCCCCTAGTTGGTCTGACCCGTTTGTCCTCATTTGTACTTTAGGGCCAATGACCGGTCCAATCTGCTGCTGAGGGACACCATTTTCTACAACAAGTCGGTATGTGGCCTGTCCTATTTTACGATCCAAACTTAGATATTTGTACCGATATGCGGACTGATCTGGATGGCTTGGCTTGCACGAGCGTGTGTTCATTGAGAAGAAATATGCAATCCTCCACAATTAGTTGTACTCTCATAGTTAGTCATGCACAATTAGTTTTCCTCCCACACTTAATCCTCCACAATTAGTTGTACTCTCATAGTTAGTCATGCACAATTAGTTTTCCTCCCACACTTAATCCTCCACGATTAGTTGTGCTCTCATAGTTAGTCATGCACGATTAGTTTTCCTCCCACACTTAATCCTCCACAATTAGTTGGCCTCTCCCATTCACGTGTGGACCGTTGCACCCCTTTCCGCCTGTCCTCTCCCACTCACGTGTGGACCGTTGCACCCCTTTCCGCGTGTGCAGGTGTACTATGTGGCGGTGGTGTTCGATGTCATTGGGCGCTGTTTCTGGACACTAAAGATCTTACCCGTCGCAACCACAACTGTGCTGCACACGTCGTCTGTCTGGTTCACGTTTGGGGTGGCAACAGTTGAGATATTAAGGTATTGCGCACTAATTAGGAATTAGTTCACGATTAGTGTGATGCACTGCGCTGGCGTCAGTTGGGGTGGCCACGATGGAGATAGTAGGTATCTTGCGCTAATTGGGGATCAGTTTATTGTAAAAAGTAGTTGATTTCAGTGGGAGTGGTTCCTGTGGTATTAGTTTGTTACCTGATGGCTTGTTCTTGCTATATTTAGAGGGGGGCATCGGAAATATCAAAGCACTCCACACTAATTTGGAACTAGTTTTGAATTATGACTGTGTAGTTTAGTTGGGATGGCCACCAGTTGTAAGATTTTAGGGGTTATTTAATTGTTTTGATCTTTAAAACCCTAAAACTCTACATGTGAGACACACACACACACACACACACATATATATATATATATATTGTATTGTATTGTATTATATTATACATTATACATTATATATTATATATTATATATATATTGTATATATAATATATACATATAT